GGAAGGGGAAGGTGGGGGGTGATAGGAGGAACCGATCACAATAATCTAACTATAACCCCCCTCCCAGGGGGATGGACAACAGAAAAGTGGATGAAGGGAGACATTGGTCAGTGTAAGACATGAAAAAATAATATCTATAAATTATTAAGGGTTATAAGGGAGGGAGGGGAAAAATGAGAAACTGATACCAAGGGCTCAAGTAGACAGAAAATGCTTTGGAAATGAAGATGGCAACAAATGTACTAATGTGCTCGACACAATGGGTGGATGGATTGTGATGAGAGTTGTACAAGCCCCCAGTAAAATGATTTTTTATAAAGAAAGAAAGAGCTTTATGTAACAGAATAATTGCGGATTAAGAAAACAGTCCAGATCAAGTCCTTAAGTCCGACATTAGCCCATATGTCTGATACCACTCTGTAAATTCCTCTTCAGACTCACACAACACATGCAATGATGCCGAATGCAGGAAGATCACAGGCCAGTGGGTGGAAAGTCTTGTGGATCCAGTGGCGGTAGAAGCAGCGCTGGCGTGGGTCGCCAGTGGCTCCCCCAGCTCCAAGGCCTCTGGCTGCTATTAGCACAGCTCCGCGCGGCTTGTCAACAAGAATGTCTCACAGCGAGAGGAAGCAGAGAGAGTGTATCTGGTCTCCAGTGAGCTATTTATCTGCCTCCAAAGCAGATCATCAAGCTGTGTGTGACCTGATGGATAGGCTAAACTCCACCCCTTCAGTGAATACCAGATATGGAACTACCACAGGGTGTGTGGATGAAGGTGCGCCTGACCCAAGCCACGTGTCTGTGAAAGTTGGGCATTGAATAAGGAGGCTGAGAAGAATCGCTATGCATTTGGACGAGGGTGCTGGAGAGGAATGCTGAAAGCACCACGGACCGCCGAAAGGGCAGACCCATGTCTTGGAAGAAGGAGGGGCAGCGTGCTCCCTGGAGGCAAGGATGGCAAGTCTTCGTGGTACCTATTGTGGACGTGTTGTCAGGAGAGACCAGTCCCTGGAGAAGGACAGCATGTTTGGTAAAATCAAGGGACAGAAAAAGAGGAAGGCTCTCAGGAGCTGAGTTGTCACCGTCGCTGCAACAAGTCACTGGGACGGGAGCACGAGTGGAGGGACGATGCAGGACCGGGCAGTGTTGCCTCCTGTTAGGCATAAAGCCACAAGGGGCCGGAGCCGCTGGACGGCCCTACAGCAAGCAGCAGCTGTCCAGCAAGGGAACTGGGGCTGTGAGCTAACTCAGCAAGAGCCACTGCACTGATGTGACGAAGGCGACAATTCTTGAGGAGGAGGCTGGCAGCAGGGGCGGGGTTCTCCTGGGTGACCTGGGGGTGCGCTTCCAATTCTGGGAGCCTTGACTGCTGGGGTCCGTGAACAGGTCATGGAGCAGGAATACAGAGACTTGCCGGCTGGGGCTTCAGTGACGGAGGGGACAGGAGCCTGGGCAGGTGTCAGCCATCAGCAGCTGGGAAGTCGCCCATTGGTCCTCAGACATCTTGGTCCCTGCCATGTGATGCCCCTGTCTGACTTCTGACCTTGAGGACGACAAGACAATGAATCTAGGGGTCGGGACCAAGGGCACACCTGCAGGTGTCTTGCAGCAGCCAACACCACTCTGCCCGGGGGACCACAGGTGGCACCCTGGGACGTCACCTGGTGTGAGCCCCCAGCCCAGATTCAGCCTCGTCTTCACTCAATAAAATACTACCCTGGAAACAGGCACAGTGGGCTTGCCCCTGGCCCGGCCCTGCCTTCCCATCCGTGTGTGTGTGTGTGTGTGTGTGTGTGTGTGGTCTCAGGAACTTGTCTGAAGTGACCTGCTGCCTGGGGGCCTCCCCTCGAGTGGACCCTGGACAGCACACGTCCATGTGGG